TCAGCGCTCTGCCTTTTACACTACTTTGTCTTTCATGCTGCAGCCAAACCATCGACTCCTCGTTGGTTTTCCAATCAATGGAAGCAATACTCCTGCTACGACCAATGTTAGCGTCGTTCAGACTTAAATTTTCCTTGGTTGACAGCAGAGAGAGCAAAAGCATTTTTAAAGTGAGGCAGCTCAACACTGATTAAAAAATGTTGCTTGAAGGAGAGAGTTTGTTTTTCACAGAAACAGAGAGAAGGGGCCTCCTGGGCCATCTAGTCTGACCCCCGGCTCCAGCCAGCTCCGCTCACGACATGCCCACCATGTGGATGTCCAGCCTCTCCTTGAACACCTGCACCGATGGGGCTCCAACCACCTCCCGTGGAAGCCCCATCCACACCCTCGGGGTCCTGACTGTCAGGAAGTACTTCCTGGCATCCAAATCGAACTTTGGTTCCCTGAACTTTGCTCTGTTGGAGCGCGTCCTGCCTTCCTCTGTGGGGGAGGTCTCCAACTGGTCTCCAACCAATGGCTGCAAAATCTCCCCCCTCTAAAAGAGGGCCTGCATGGTGTCATGGTGATCGGGACCCAGGCAATCTGGGTTCCAGTCCCCGCTCAGCCAAGGAGCCAACTGAGTGACTTGGATCAGTCCCAGCCTCTCAGCCCATCCTACCTCACAGGGCTGTTGTTGTGGGGACAAGATGGAGAGAAGCAAGAGGCAAGTGCTGTAAGCCACTTTGAGTTCTTTAAAAAAGAAACAGGTGGGACATAAATAGAGTCAGTAAATAAATAAAAATGAAGGCTAGTGCTTAATTCTGCCCACAAGGTGCAAGTACATTTGAAATGCTTGCCTTTTCATGGTCCACATTTCTAATTTTTGAGACACAATTATACACCGTCCCTATGCCCCCAAACCACCCATCCCTGGGCTTTTCTCGTTCAGGGATAAGCTGAGATAAAACCAGCTAAGAAACAAGGCCACTGCCCAACAGAGCTGGTGGAGGGCAAAATAACAGGGAAGGGAGAATGTGCTTGGTGGCTCGAGAACGAAAATGCCCCAGCGTCCGATGCTATTGGTGCAGACATGCAAAATGAGCCGGGCACAGTGGAGAAAACTGCCCAAAGGACAATCTTTGGGTTTTACCTTTGGGTAAAGCTGGTTTCTGGGGGCTGACTTACTCTAGGAAGAGGCGCTACTCCGAGTCTGCATTACCACTCCATCCGAAGGGAAAATACGAGCTGCTGAGAGCTACCATGTGCGTGTCTAATTAATCAGCACATTTGCGCCACGAAAAGCATCACCCACAGCCAAGTGGGAAAAGCAAGGAAAGCAAAGCAGGTGTGCAAGGAATATCTCCGGGCGACGTCTCCTGGGAGGTTGGTTTGCTTGAGGATGGAGGCCCCTTCCGCACTGCAGCGCTGAGACCTTCTCCTGGCAAGCTGTTCTTCGAGAGCTGAAAATGCCCAGCCGTTCCTCCTTTGCACTGGAAATGTCCTCCCAAAGTTAAGAACATCACGAAAGCAGAGATGGACCAGGCCAAGGTCCACCTAGTCCAGCCTCAGCTGCTGGTGGGAGGCCCTCGAGCAGGATGGGAGTGCAATGGCACCCTCCCACCCATGTTCCCCAGCAGATGGTGCACACAGGCAGACTTCCTCTGATCCTGGGGGTAACAGACAGCCGGCAGGACTAGCTCCGAGAAACAGGGAGACGGTGGGACATGCCATGACACTCTCGTATGGGAATAATTTCGATTTTTTTGCTTCCAGCCAGAGGTTCCTTGACATCTCTATTTTTGAAATGCCGCATCGCAGTCCCCCCACAGGAGATCATGAGGTCACCAAAAGGGGATGGAGACACCTGTGTGCAGCTCCAAGAAACTCTCCGAAGCAGCAATTTCCAAAGGCGTTCCCCTGGGGGCTTATTAATAATAGGATCCCCAGCAGCTCCCTTCTACTGCCTTCCTCCACCTCCAAACGGCTCATAGACCTCGGTGTTGATGCACCTGCTTTTTTTCAGGGCTCCCTTGGCAGAAGCTTGGGAAAAACACACAGGGCAGGAACACAGTCCTGCTGCTCCTGGCATTCAGTTCATGTGATGGTAGGAGCGTGTGTTTCGCACACCCAGAAAAGAGGGGCTGGCAGAGAGAAAGTGCGGGGGGGGGGGGAGCTGCCCACCTTTCGGTTCGGTTCAGCAGGCTGCTAACCGTGAGGAAATGTGGCCCTCGCCCTTCCCAGTGGGGCGAGGCAAGGGAAATCTCCAAGGAACTTCCTTGGCTGGGATGAAGGATATGAAACGGGAACCTTCCAGTCCCGTCGTTTCTCCCTTGAGGAATTCCTCCTAGCTCTCTTTTAATCTGGAAGCAAATTCAATTCTCCAGTAGATTGGAAGCAAATTAAACTCTCCAGTACTTTCCATCTCCTTCCTAGCCTTAGAGTTCCTGAGATAAGCTATCCACGATCCGGCTAGTCCAACCTTCTCAACACACACACACCATGGCTCTTTTAAATGTGATTTGCCTCAACACCCTTTCCTCCCGACTGCGGAGAAGCAAGAAGACTGACAACCCAGCAGCCTAGATGGGTAATAAAATGCAGATTTGTTTTGTTTCTCCAAAAAACCCTCTGCAGGTTTGAAAGGTTAAGGATTTTATGAATTCGCATGTGCTTAATAAAAGATATTTACAGAGTCTGTGTCATTTTAACACCAGGGAGAGAGTTCAGAAAACATACCCATGCTCTGAACCACAAAGAATACCACTTGCCAATAAAGGCACACAACATTATGCACAAAACCATAAAAATGGCAAACATTATGCATCTTGGCTGATCTTTCCCTCAGTCCCCTTTTCTACTAAAACGTTTGACACCATCCCAAATCAGTGAATGGAAATCATTAAAAATTGTGCTCTTGTGCTTCTTTCGTTAACAGTCAAAGGATGTATCTACTCTTTCCACAACTTTGCTTCAAGGCTATGCTAAAAAAGCAGTGCTGTTGAACCGCAAACCCGCCCAGGGTCCCAATCCAGTCCTCTGGTGTTCCCAGAGAGTCACGGCCGCTTTCCCTCATCTGGTGGCTCCTCAGAAGTTCTACATTTCCCCCATAGCAGAAGCTTGAAATGTCTCAAAGCTTAGTTACTGGCAGAAAGAGAATTCACAACACAAGAGACGCGCTGCTGGATCACACCCGGAGTCCATCCAGACCGGCAGTCAGTTCGCACAGTGGCAGACCAGCTGCCCACGGGGTCCCGCAAGCAGCAAACGAGAACCCCATAAGTGGCAGAGCCAGAAGCCGCAGTGTCCCAGTGCTGGGGATATTTTTCATAGCCGCACTTCAGCCTGCAGCCCAGGAGCTTCTCCAGAGCTGAATCTGGCCCTCTGGCCTAAAAGAGCTTTGACTCCCCAGTGGAGGGAACCTCACGCAGTTTTAAAGGAAGCGTTGCTAATGAGAAGCACAGCAAGCTAAGGAGGCAGTCTTCCGTCAACGCAGCCGCGTGTCCACCTGAGTCAGCACTGTCTCTACTCTGAACGGCAGCGGCTTTCCAGGGAGCCAGGACTCCTCCTGCCTTACCTGAAGATGCCCAGGGATTATTTACGGGTTCTTCTAGTGCGCAAAACACACGCTCTGCCCACGACCTTAATGGCCCTTCTGCAGCACGGCTCTGCAGGGTATGCCACCATTAAGCTCTGTACCCTCAAGGGGAGGAATCGAGGAGAAAGAAGAAAAAGAGGGGACGGAGCCCTGGGAATTTCAGAGGATTTATTCCAGCAATCGGGGGAATACAAAAGTGAAACTTGCCAGATTCTGGGGAACGAAGATGCTCTGCTACTGGCGAGCAATGCTAACAGAGAAGGCTGGGCTTTTAAGATTTCCTAGTGGGCTGCTTCTATTCTTTTAACACAATGCTGGCAACCGTTTGCAAAAGAATCAGATACGAATGGCTATTTATTAGAGGCCTGTTATAAACACAGCTGCCCCGGGAAATGGCTTACTGTTCATCGCAAAAGAAAGGAGATGCTGGTCCTGACAGAGTAAGAGCTTAAATTAAGGGTGGTGCTCAGGCCCAAAAGACAAAACGAGAGCGCAAGCGCGCACATGCCGACTGAGGGATGCTCTGAAGTCTGTGCGTGTCTTCCAGGGTTCCTGCAGCCTAAGGAGGACTCGTTTGTAAAAAGGGAAGCCCAGGCAGGGGAGAGGCAGGCACTGGGGTTCAAGGAAAAATCCCAGGCAGAAAATTTGGGAACGGGTGTGGGCAACAGCCATTCTTGTTTCTGTTTTTCTTTTGTAAGCCGTCCAGAGACGTTTAGTATTGGGCGGCATATCAAAGCTTTAAATAAATAAAAGTAAATAAATAAACAAGGAAACAGAAGGGGAAGTTCAAAGTGGGCAAGAGGCCAGTTCATCTGGGAGTTCTGATGCAACGGGGGGTCATCCAAGCCCCTTGTCTGCCTCCCGCAAGTGTCCTAGGACAGCAGGGGGGTGGAGCAGAGGGCCTCCAAGAGATCGGGGTCTCCAAATGGAAGATTCAGGCTCCAGTCCTCATGAGTCACCCCTGAACAAACCCCTGGATTTCATACACTTTGACTCTCGTCCAGCTGCCATAGACAAGAAACAGGACTGACCCGCTCATGGGAGGATTTCTCCAGCAGCGTGGTGAGAGTTGGACACTTCATTCGGAAAGGCGGAACTGGGACCGGGACCCTGTGGATTACTGGGTCCCTCCCTCAGCTGCTCCCACGCCACCAGCCATCCCAGGCTGCCGCAGAGGGAGAGGCGGCAAGCGAATGCCTCCTGCTGGAAAGGCCACACTCCCTGCTTCCCTACCGGCCTTTTTGTCATTGCAGGCCAGCAGGCGGAGGAAGCCCAGTTTGTATGGATTGTCCTGAAGCCATTCTGGGAGCCATTTTGGCTGAAGAGGTGAATAATTAAGCTTCACACACACACACACACACACACACACACACGCACGCACGCACGCACACACACATACAGCTTTGGTGGCACAAATAGTACTTACATGATGCAAAGCCATGACTGTTGATACTGTACCCCAGTGACTGTCGCTGTGACACCCTGAATTGTATCCGACAACAGGTGAACTGCCAAAAAAACCCAGACAATTTGAATTATAGTCCAGAACATTCACATATGAAGTTGGATCTTCCTCCACCCGCAGTCTGTCTGGAAACTACAGTGTAAGGAGTTTAACACACTGGGTCTTTTCTTGCCTTTTCTCAGCTGCTGAATGACCTGGGATAGGAGATAACATGTTTTTTTAAGAAGAGTAGCCACCAATCAAGAAGCACCGTTCTTGAAAACCCTACTGCAGCCTCAAGATGTGACTTCCCACCTCTTTACGACGAAGAACAGGAAGACAGAAGGTTTGCTCTGCTAAAGAGAGTTGGGCAGGTTTCCTCTGGGGGCAGGCCCTGGTTCTTCTTGCCAGTTCTCCAACATCTTGTGAACCGAGATTCAGAACAATGGCTGACTCTAACTTCAGCCAAAGCTACACTGGTGTGCAGAAGGGAGTAACTTATAATATACCGAGGAATGCATGGGGAGAGAAGAGCACGGATGCTCATTCACAAAGGAAGCCTAACTTTTCTAAGCATTTCGAAAACACCCCCAAAGGGGCCAGTTTCAGAGCAGAGACGATTTCATGTTGTCTGAAGCGCCACAGAGCCAGAAAGTTGGAAGCCGAGGCGGACGCCTTCCTGTGGTGTTGTGCGACGTCCCAACGACACTGCCCCTCGGTCTGTCAGGCATGAATCTGGATGGGGATCCATCCTGGGACCGGGATGGGTGCTGCGGCAGAAGCAAGCAAGCTTGGGACGTCGCACAACCTCCTTCTTGACCCTGGATGCCTCTGGCTCGGTCCTCGTCTCAGCTGCCATTTCCTGGCTTTGTGGCGCTTCAGCCGGGACGACACGGGCTTCACTCCTGAGCCACACCAGCTCGTGCGTTCGTCACTCGATTTCCTTGGTTTCTGAAAAGGAAATTAAGTGTTGCAATGCTGCCCCCCCTCCTCTCCCCGGTGTATTTGAATCCAGCCGGCCTATATGATACAAGAGATTAACTGAGGGCAAGCATTAGCTCATTTCCCTTAAACCTGAAGCTGTGATGCCTCAAATAAATCCTGTTTGCTCGTATGAACAAATCAAAAGCATGACAGCAGGGAAGGGCTTTTAGACAGAGCAATGCAAGTCACAAACTCGCGGGGGGCGGCTTTTGAGTTATGCAGAAGGCTTCTTTGTTGTATAACAAGGGTTCGCTGGAACTCCCTCCTGCAGCTCATAATGAAAGGCCTGGATTGCTAATGAGGGCAGCCAGTTGGTTCTGACATCCCCATCAGAGAATGCCATTAAACAAAATGCATGTTACAGTTCAGTACGAAAGCCAGCGTGGTGAAGCGGTTGGGAGCGCACGACTGGGACACACGATCCGGGTTCTGGTCCCCACTCGGCCATGGAGCTGACCGGGGGACTCTGGGCCGGTCGTACACCTCAGCCTGGCCTACCTGGGCTGGTGGGAACTGCAGCCCAACTCAAGTGGTTGGAGGCCAACCGCCTGGGAAGCCAGTTCCGTTCAGGCCCTTGTGGAACGACGCTCAAAGGGAGCGAGCCATTTCACACACGAATCACAGCTTTCAGCGCAGGCAGAAGCGAACAAGGAGCTGTGTCTCACCGTTCCCTTCTCTGGGGGTCCCCGAATCGGTGAATAAAGTGCTCATGATCTTGTCGAAGTTGCAGCTTGGCTCTGCGTTGTCAGAGTCCTCTGCGAAGTGTTTCAACATCTCTCGCAGGACGTCGTCCAGAGAGGTTGCCGTCTCGTCCAGAATGATGCTGGCTCTGGCCAGGAACCCATCAAGGTCCCGGTGGGCTCTCACTTCCTCCTCGAAGTTCTTTAATTTTAGGTACTGCAGTGAAAACAGAGGAAGGTGAATTCTTCAGAATGTCCTGCAAAGGTAAGCCGATGTGTTGCAGCCACTACTGAGAAAACGTGGCTTTGCTCATTCCTGGTTAGGGCTAACAAGGTGGCACTGCGTGATATTTTCTGGTTTCACTAACGAGTTCCCTTTTCGGATGTTTTAAACCAGCACAATTCCAGGTTGCTCCTTCTTTCAGTGTTTTATGACTACCACTGAACAACGCTGTCTTTTATTATGGATTCACTGCGTTTCTATATGGCCTTTCTGAAATCAACCCTTCCTGAAACCAACCAACACAAAGTTCAGGGGGAAAATCCCCCAGAATCAAAGAGAAATTCAGCAGAATGCCTGTATCCACAGAGATCGGCTCTCAGTTCCTCAGCAGATGCCTGTAACTGTGGATAGGAGTGAAAAATATAAGCTGAACAGAGCCATTTTTCTACAATTCACAGGCTGAAGCCTGGTTCTTACCGTACATCCTAGCAACCTCAGCATGTTTTTCTGTCTTTCCTTATTAAAGTGAAAATTCTCACTTAAAGGAAGCACCTTCTGACTTCTCTTGGGCACTTTACAGTTTCTGTTCTGGACCAGGGTCAACTGAATAAGGGAAAATCGTGGTAATTGAACCAGTCAATTTGGGGGTCCTATTGTACAGTAAAAGATTCCAAAACGCAGAAGAACCATAACCATTCAGAAAAGTCCAGTTAAAAAGATGCATCTTGTTACCATTCCTGGATACAGAGAATGTGCAGTGGATACCAGAAGGTCTGCATTTCTGAGCTTGGGAGCTACACATTTGATTCCCGGGATTTCTTATGCCAATCATTAGTCTGGACTGTATCTTTCATATGAAAATATTGTATGTTTAAGGCTTTGATTTTTGGAAACTCCCAAGAGAACTTTGGGCAGAACAACAAAATGAAGTGGGAATATCTGCTACAGATTGGGAAAGGGTGCATGCATGAAAAAGTAAGAAGAGACTTAATTCTTTGTATTTTATTTATTTAGGAAATTTCTATGCCGCCCCATTCGCCGAAGCCTCGGGGCGGCTCACAAACAGCCGCCCCTGTTTGTAATCCCCCTCTTTCCCCTACAAAGCCTCCCGAGTACCTTGATGTCTTTCAAAGAGGATCTGGTTGCAAGAGAGCAGCAAGATGAAGAAAGCAATCCAGTCACTGGTTAAAAAAATCCCTCCCACCCAGCCTGTGTGCCGGTCACTCGCCTTCTTGGCTTGAGCACCCTCACTGGCACAGCTAACCTTGTTGTGTGAGCCCATTGATGCTGGAGTTGTGCCACAGTTAAACTGCCCCGGAGACATAAAACTCCCTGTGAGATTTGGAGGGCATGTTAACCACGGCAGCCACCCACCTTGCAGGGTTCGGACGACGTGGTAAGCCATGCTGGCGGGCCTGATTTGATCATGGCTTGTGGATCAAGCTGGGAATCGCACGACCCAGGTCACTGTCTCACCTGTGAAGGAGAGGCACCCAAGGGTCTGCCTCGCAGCGGGGCCGAGACAGCAAAGAGGGCAGACCTGGAAAAGTGCGGGGCCCACCCCTCCTTGACTGCAGCTCTCCACCCCCAGAGCGGCAAGGCCGAAGCCCAGCTCGCAGCAGCCTTGTCCACAGTGTGTCTGAGCAGCTCCACCCTCGAGCGGCAAGAGCAAGCCCGGGATCCGGGATCATTTCCTCCCCACCCAGCCGGTGGGGCTACTCAAGGCCTTGCGCGAGGGGGTTCTGCACATAGCTGCCATTACCGGCCTGGGATGCGTTAAGAGCAATACACATCAAAGGCATCGCCCCATTCCAGCGAGGGGGCTGAGTGGGGGCCTTCTGGCAGGGAAGATGAAAGCTTTAGCTTTGATTTGCCAGAATGGAAAGCATTTGCAAATCAGGAAATTTAACCTTCCTTTATCATCGCAACTGGGTAATTGCAGCCCTTCTCATGGCAGACGTGAAGGGCAAATGTTACTTTGGCTGTAAGGCAGGTCTCCATAAAGACAGAGTTGCTTTCCTAGTAGAAGGGGACCAGGATGCAGCCTGAAGGTCTGATAACTGCGCTATAGTTTGTTTATTTATTTATTTATAAAATCTGTATGCCATCCAATTACTTGCGTCTCTGGACGCCAAACAGCATAATGCATCCATGTGGTTCATCCATGTGTGCGGCATGCATGAGAGAGCGAGAGCATGGGTCCCATCAAACCATGGGTCCATCCAGCTCAATGTTGCCCTGATACCCTCCCAGTGGATTGCACTGAATCTCCCTAATGGGCTGTGGGTTGGGGATACTGGGAGCTTTGCTGCAACCCCCCTGGTGGTCCCCAGGTGGGGGGAGGCAGTTCTGCATTGACTGGCGGGGGATCCTCGGGGGAAGGGGAAGGGTCCTTCCAGCGACTGAACCTGTGCACCTGAACTGCGGCCCAACCTTCTGGAATGCGGAAAAGGGCCCCCCCTCTCTTAGCACACTGGTTTTTCTGTTCAAAATGCTCCTGCGATGTCACTTTCTTTAGCAAAGTGGCCCTCAGGGATGCATTACACGCATTTATATATGAAATAAACCCTGCTATAAGAATCCTTTCGGATCGATTATAATCCTTTCTATCTATTATCCATTATAAAGAGAAGCCACATTTTATGGCTCCATCTGGGCTTTCAGCAAACGAGTTTGAAGGCTTGTGAGGACAGGCATGATTACAGAAAGCCCTGTGCTTCGGAACAAACTAGAGATAACCTCCTTCCATTCTGAAATCACAAGGAACAGTTGACCCTGGACTACCCGTAGGGCAAATAAAAAAGCATAACCACAAGTTGCAGGTAGACTGAATTCTTCCGTAAAAACAAAAATAAAAAGCACACAGTGTACAGCAGAAACTGCAAAGGGTTTGAATCAGGATGTTGGTACAGATATTTACATTTAATTCCTCATGGAACCCCTCCTATGCATCGGTTTCCAGGAGGGTTGGCTATATTAGTCTAATGGAGGAAAAAAAAAAAACAACCTTTTTGCACCTTAAAGACTAAAAAATCTATTCTGACAAACTCTGGTGGAAAGCGTCAGGTTGCATCTGATGAAGCCAGCCGTGTTCACAAAGATCTGCAGCAGAATGACTCTCTCAGCCTCTAAGGCGGCACAAACTCTGCTTCCCCCAGCTGCCTTTGGATGTTCTATGGGGCTTACTCGCAGGTAAATGCATAGTACTGGAAACTTAGCCAGCTTTTAAGCGCTTCAGCTCAATGAAAGGAGAACTTGCCTAGCTTGCTTGTTAAGAAAGAGCATCCTTCCAAGCCAGGTATGATTTATTTATAAACAACTTAACTATTTATTATTATTTTAATTATTTATTTATAAAAGCTTTTATCGGCTGCTTGCTTAGCCTGAGGCTCCCCGAACAATTTACGACGAATATGTGGCTCTCCAGTACTAGAGAGCGTAGGTGCTGGGAAGGCTCAGGAATGTTGTCCTGTGGGGTTATCTCGAAAGGACACAATCCCCATCCTTGTTCTAAGCAAGAAGGAGCTTCCACACTGCGGAGGGCATGATCAGAAGGATTTCAATGACAAGGGAACTTCAGGGATTTAAGCAGGAACAAAAATCCAGGCAGGAAGGTAAGCTACCTAGTCCCTATAGAAAACAATGACCGGCCCAGCTTTCCACATGTGTTGATTACAGAGCCCATCATCCTGGGCCAGAATTCTCTCCCACTGGATGGGTTAATGGGAGCTGCCGTCCAGCACAAGGCTGGACGAGACAAACACTGAGCTCATTTAGGTGCAGCCACTGCATTCAAGACAAATCAGCGCTGCTGTTCTTTACAATGAAAAGCAAACAGAAATGGCACTTACTTTTCTTGATGTGTGCAGTAAAACGCAGCCAGCACTCTCACTTTCTGCTGGAAGAGAAGAGAAAAATGGCGGTGAGAGCAAAACGACCAGTTTGGTGATGACGGGCAAGTGTTTTTGGCCCGGGGAAAATGCGAGCCGACGCATCGCCTAGGGAACCAAACGTCCCATTCCGTGGGCCCACTCCTTGCAGCCTGGGGTTTTGCAGAACAGCTGTGGCGAGCAGGATTTGGATCCGGCCACGGCCAGACGGCAGGGAAGCTGCACCCCCTCCTTTTGCACTGCACCGTGGGCCCCAATCCACGGCGCCATCCTCCACCTCTTGATCACGGAGAGGAACTCCTGCGATCCACAGCTCTCAGCAGCTGCATCTCAGCCACGGCCTGTGAAGGATCTCCAGACCCTTTGGCCACTTCCCCTCCGGCCTTGTCCCAATCCAAACCACCCTGCGTGCCGCCTGCCTCCTCGCGGGAGACTCCATTCCGCTGCCCATCCCGTTTTCTGCCTCTTCCCGGCACCAATAGTTGGGTGCACCGACCGTGTGCGCTCAGTTCCCATTGACCCATTTTGGGCTTGCCCTTCTCCCCACAGAAGGGTTATTATTATTTATTGATTTAAAACGGTTTTAGATCGTCCCTTACCAAGGTCTCCGGATGGTTTGACAAGAAGACAAAATAGAATAAAACACAGCCTCCTTCCATACGTGCCTGCCCGGCCCTTGAGATCAGGGGCAGAGGCCCTTCTCTGGATGCCCTCCTTGAACGAGATTAGGAGGGTGGCTACCCAGAGAAGGGCCTTCTCTGTGGTGGCACCTTGACTATGGAATACACTCCCCAGGGAGGTTCGCCTGGCGCCGTCACTTTATTCTTTTCAGCACCAGGCCAAACCCTTTTTATTTTCCCAACGTTTTGAGACCTGACTGTTTTAACTGGGGTTTTATTGTCAGTTGAATTTTTAGGATTCAACTGTTTTATTTTGCCTTGCTGTGCTGTTTAGCCATCCTGAGACTAGGAAAGTTTTAAATAAATAAATAAATTTGTTTTAGAAAGTTTTAAATAAATAAATAAAATTTGTTTTAGAAAGTTTTAAATAAAGAAATAACTTTTCCCCGAGTCTGCCAATTCCTCCTTTATTTGTTTATTTATTAATTAGGGTATTTCTATCCAATCCATTACGGTTCTTCTCTGGATGGCTTACCATAGAAAACACCTAATAAATACATCATAATAACACACAACTGAGGATAAAACTGTAATTAGAACATGCAAACTTTAAAATACTGGGTAAATAGAAAGGTTTGACACGGATGCTGTCAATTTGGCTACATAAACAAGGATGCCAGGAGCATGGAAATGGCGAGAGGTATTGACGGGGGCCATTTGTGGCCCCAAGCAAGCTGCTCTGCCTCCACAGAGCTTATGATCTGAGAGTGAGGAGAGGGTGGAGAAACGGGACGGGGGCTTGTAGCAAGGTCAAAATGCTAAAACATGGAGCTGCGGGACCGGAGAGCAAAGATTCAGAGGACAGGCTCTGAGAGTGGACTGAAGGATATCAGAAGGGGGATTGAGAGAGCATGCAAAAACACCAGAAGAAATAACTGAAAATGCCCTTGCACAGAAAGTGAAAACCTGCCTTGTGCACAGAGCTAAAATTGTGCTAAAAATGCACAAGAAATTGCAGCTTCCACAGAAAACTTCCGCAATGAAAGTCTCCTGAGAACAGGCATCAACGCACAGACCTGCTAGAGCAGTACACTGAAAGCTTTCTTCCGCCCCACAAGACTTAATGAAATCAAACCCTGCGGACCCCCTGCACAGTGGAACTGATCCCGAGCCCACCATAAATGCCACTGCCGCTTGGACCCCGACACAGCACTCTTTAGTGCCACAATAATGGGCCGCTCCCTTCGCACAGCTTCTGCGTTATAATGCAAGATTGCTTTTTACGGCACGCGAGATGAAAACAACCCGGAGCATCCCTGGGGGGACAGGTTAGGCCCAACCATAAGAGTCACAGCATGGTGCCAGTCATTCCAGACCAGCACGCTTCAGACCTCACCTACAGCACGTATACAAAGAAGGGGGAAAATTCACCTCCAATGAGGCGCCTAAATCCTTATGGATTTCTGCCAGGTACTCACCAAGCATGAAGCTAAAGTGTCGGCCCCTTACCGAGCAGATGCAGAATCAATGCGACGAGCCCCTGCCCTTCCGGCCCTTTCCTCTCAGCAGAACACGCATTTTCACAGCTTGACTCCCTTCACCACTATGGAGACTTTCGATAAAAACACGGCAGTAATGAGCTGCGGCCAGTGTGGCTCTGCTAATGAATCCAAAGCTGCCCTTTTGTATCCTGAGTAGCAAAATGCTACCGTTAATGAGCAGAGCGAAGGCTTTGGCCTGGGTGGCTCAGACTGCATGCTTTAATTAAAACGAGTGCTTTTTAAAATTAAGGCCGTTAGAATAGCCATGTTGGATCAGCCTGAGGGGTCTGTGTAGACCAGGAATCAGTTCATACTGTGCACCCCCCACCCAGCTCCCCATAGGAAACCCACAGGTAAGCCAGGAGCCTAACAGTGCCGTCTTGCCCATGCTCCCCACCAACTGCTGGGCACAGGCACACGGATCCCGGAGGAGCCACTGAGCCTTCCTTGGATCTGCCCAAAATAGAAGGAATGCAGGACATAAATGAGGGGCCGAAGCTGCTCCAGGAACCTCTTAGCTCAGCAGTGGGCTAAGAATAATAATGCGTAATGAGCAATCATGGAAGAGCGAAACGACAAAAAAGCAGGTCCTGTGGCCATATTTCATAAAACAATTCCAGGCACTCAAGTTGTAAAGCAACTGCTGCACACACATAATGCAAAGCAACACTGCACGAGCTGAATCAGAAGATTAATCTGATTGCTATTAATCAGAAGATAAATTTGGTTCCTGCAGAGCCAGTCTTATAATGAGCAAAAGCCTAGGAGCACAAGGGCCCTGAAAGCCTAAGGCTCAACACCAAAGAGCAACCTACTGATTTGGCCTTTGGAGAAGTGTCACAAATCCCCAACAATGCGCAGGGCCCAGGAGGCTGGGCACGCGGTCGACCCCAGGAGGCGTCTCTGGATGGCTTGGGCCACCATGGTTAGCGGCCTTGACCTCTGGCCATGCAAGCTGGGAGCCCAAGACATGGGGCGAGCGCCAGGTCAGGGAAGCTGAGTCTATCACGGCCTCTGGGATTTCAGACAGGGCACTCCCAGCCCTGCTTGGTGTTCCCGGGGATTCCACCCCAGACCACCTGCTTGCGAGGCAGGAGCCCCGCAGGGAATTGCAGGCCCTCGTGACAGCAGGAGGACCCCCAGGAAGAGTGGCGCCGGAGCTGAACGAGGTGTGTCCAGAAAGTGATGAGAGTATTTTAGAAATTATTTTACTGAACATTTGTACAATTGGACATTGTCTCCTGCACGGTATGCACCTTGGGAGGGTACGTAACCCGCCCAGCGATTTTCCCATTCTTCACAGCATCCCTGGAAGTCTTCAGGTGGGATGGCGTTCAGAGCCTGCGTAGTGGCTCTTGGGACGTTATCCGCACGACCAAAATGGCGGCCTGCCAAACCTTTCTTCATCTTTGGGAAGATGAAAAAGCCGCAAGGAGCCCAGCCGGGGCTGATGGGGGGATGGGGAAGCCCCACGGTGTTTTTCAGCCCAAAACTCTGACAGCCAAAGCACCGTGACTCGGCGCGTTGTCGGGATGGAGGACCCAACTTGTGCCATCGGGACGCCTGTGCGGACGACAGCGCAGCTTCTCCCTAAGCTTCCCTCGCCATTTCCAAAATTTCCGATGCACTTTTACCCAATTTCACACAATTTTTTCACGTACCGCAGTTCCGAACTCGCCTGCCTTTTTCTTAGTAAGAGGCACTTTGGCACAAAAGAAATGTCTCAGCTCTGCTGGAACGCAACTGATCGTTGTTCCAACGCACACCTGCCCCCCACCCCCCGTGACCTTGGCCAGCTTCCCCCTTCACAGAGCTCTTCTCCAGCGCAGGGACTTCATTCTCAAGACTTTCTGGACACGCCTCGTATGTGCGAGAAGCTGCAGTCTGGAGCATCACAAATGTTATTACAGGAAATGAACGAGAGGAAGGCATCCAGGCCTTTCTCCAAGGCAGGCCCACCTCCACATGCCCCCCCCACCCCACTTCTTCCTGCCTTTTGACAATTTATTTATTTATTTATTATTTATTTAAAATATATGCCGTCCAAATCGCAAAAAAACCTCAGGACGGCTTACAAAGTAATAGCATAAATAAAATTCCCGACCCACACCGACCGCAATTAAAAACATAGAAAAAACAATATTAAAACTTATTACAATACCGCTGGAATAAAAAGGTCTTAACCTGGCGCCGAAAAACAAATAACGACGGCGCCAGGGAGACCTCTCTGGGGAGCACATTCCATAGATGGGGCGCCACCGCAGAGAAAGCCCTCCTCTGGGTACTCACCCTCCTAATATCTTTCCCGGAGGGTTCCCGGAGGAGGGCCTCTGCTGCCAATCCCAAGGGGCGGGAGGACAAATATGGAAGAAGGTGTTCCTTCAGGTATCCAGGTCCCAAGCCGTTTAGGGCTTTATAGGTAATAACCAGCACCTTGAATTGAGCCCGGACTTCGATGGGGAGCCAGTGAAGCTGGTAGAGGACTGGGGTTATGTGAGAATAACGCCCAGTCCCCATCAGCAACCTGGCAGCTCTGTTTTGCACCATCTGAAGTATCCGGACCGTCTTCAGGGGCAGCCCCACGTAGAGCGCATTACAGAAATCCAACTGGGAAGTAACCAATGCATGTGTCACTGTCGCCAGGCAGTCGTTCTCCAGGTAGGGGCGCAGCTGATGGACTAGCCAAAGCTGAAGGAAAGTGCTCCTTGTCACTTGAGCTTCCAAGGACAGCTCCGGGTTGAGGAGCACTCCCAAGCTGCAGACCCTGTCCTTTAGAGGGAGTGCAACCCCGTTCAGGACAAGGTTCAATTCACCCTCTCCGAAGCCCGATCCGCCAACCAACAGGAC